GTCTCACGCCAACTCTCATACTGGTTTCTTCATTCTCATCCATTCCTCCTCAACTGTGGGAGCGGTGGCATTAGATGGCGGACGCGGTGGGCTCCTCAGTGCCAGTTCAGGTTGCTTCCGAGTAGAAGGTTGCTCCCCCCTGAGTCCATAGCACTGGACTTTCCTAAACTTCCCTGGGCAACTGAGCTAGACTTCAGTTGATGACCCCCTCCTGAAAGCCAGCCATTGCCCCTAAGTGAGGGTCACCCCTGTCATGGAAACTGTCAGAAAGCTGGCTCCATAGCACTGGACTTTCCTAAACTTCCCTGGGCAACTGAGCTAGACTTCAGTTGATGACCCCTCCTGAGAGCCAGCCATTGACCCAAGTGAGGGTCACCCCTGTCGTGGAAACTGTCAGAAAGCTGGGAGTTTACCTGTGTGCTGCTTGTTGCCCTGTTTGGAATTTCAGCCTGGAGGCCACTGGGGAAGCTTTCATCCAAACTATTCTCAAAGGTTAAAAGATTTTAAACTTCAGTCCTTTCATCACTTACTTGTTCTTCAGGCCATTGAAAGCCCGGTAGAGGGTCACGTCATTCCATTCGATGGTGGTGATCTCGTTGTTGCGCATCCCGGCGAAGGCGTAGATCAGGTGAGTGCAGAGGCAGGGGTCGATGTCATCGGGCGTGAAGCGGCCCAGGCCTGGCCGGTACTGGGCCCAGTTGGTGAAGTAGCATGTCAGGTGATAGGCAGAGCCTGGTCCCCAGAGGAAGAGGTGAGAAACAATGAGAGAGCAAGCTCCCTGCGATGACACCATCTCTGATTGCCTGAGAAACCACAGGCTTCCAAATGAATTGGGAGGGGGGAGATGTGCCTGAGATCCCTGTGTATTGTGGCCAACCCATAATTAGCAGGCAATTTAGGGCTGAAGATATCTGTCAGAGGTAGCTCTGTCCCTCAAGAGAGAATTAAAGACCCTTAGGAATCAGTGCCCTTTGCTGAGATAAAACCTTAAAGCAGTAAACTCTGATTTAAATTTATCCTAGTCCAGTGGTTCTCAACCTTGGCTGCACATTAGAATCACCTGGGAATCTTTTGAAAGTCCTGATTTCTGGGCCTCATCCTCTCGAAATTCTGTTTCTTTGTTACTAATGTTGTGGCCCCACCCCATAACAAAGAAACAGAATTTCCGGAGGATGAGGCCCAGAAATCAGGATTTTAAAAAGATTC